GGCAGAAGTGGGGGAGTATAACTTATTAAACTATATTTTTGATAGTATTTTGTTTCTGTTTTTGTCATGCCATTTATAGTCTTAACTTACTACTTTATGATGACAGCAGTTTTGGCCGCAACCACCAGGTGGGTGTAGTGGTTTCCCTTATATATTTATTTATTTTACTGAAGTTTACAATTTATTCTTATAGAACCGAATAGTGTACAGTAAATTAAATATTTTTTTTCTGAATATTTTTTCAAGAAAAGGTCAAATGTTATTTATCTGTATGTGTGTTTCTATCCCTTCTGTGTGAACATCTGCTCTGCAGATTCTAAGTTAAAGTTTACTGTATGTCTTGTGTGTTGACATATCTTAAGGAACATAATAGGTGTCAAGCCCACCTCCCTCAGCCGCTCTTGGAAAACCCAAAGGACAATAGTAAGAGAGTAGGGGTGGAACTGGCTGTTAGACAAGGGTTGGATTCTTCTATCCTAAGTCTGTTTAACGGACATGAACGGATAAATAAGTGGTTTAAGGGATATAAAACTTTTTTTTTACCCCAGAGTTCAAATGGAAAGATAGTCAAAATGTCCACATTAAACACATCAATGTTAATTTACGACTTTTTAAATGTAGTTCAGGCATAAGAAAGATCTTATAGTGATAACATCATTATGACCTTTTCATAATTAATAATTAATGAATCTTGATAATAAAGGTTAAACATTCTGGCCTGGCACTACAACAAATCTCTAGCATACATGCATGAGTTAGGCTGTGTGTAAAGGTTGGGTCTTGTCATTGCTCTTCTTTCTCTAATAAAAGCCTGAGGCAGGCTGCAGTGTGTCTCTGTACGCTGACTATCCATCTTTCGCCACCAGGTAATGCCAGATCCAATGGCTGCTTTGTTGCAAATGTTTATGAAGCAAAAACCGTCTTTAATTGTCATGTTGGTATTTTTTTAATCATTATTCTATAGATGTATTCATACAGAAATGTTGAGTTCCTGTAATTTTACAACACACAAAATGAGTTTTAATCCATTTCATTGAACTGAAGTTATAGTGTGAAAAGTGCACGCTGAAAGACGAAAGAGTGAAGAGACAAGGAGTCACTGAATGGAAGTCCTTGTCTTTTTTTTCTTCTTTTTTTGACCTACCTCTTAGGTTTCCCTTTCTCTCTTCTCTCTGCTCTGACAGCATGACGTCTAAGACATGTCTACGTCACTGTGACCTCACTGATACTCCACTTTGTCTCTGGAGTTATTTGTGTTGACAGACATGTATGATAAAAAGAGCTATAGCTGGTGTTTTGCATGACCTAAAAGAGCGTTTGTGTTCCTGACAGCCCCCACAGCAGCCCCTCTTCCCTTTGTGGTAAACCGTTACTCATCACCACCCAGTCTGTCTGTCTGGTCCACATAGTCTTTCAAGAATGTCCCATTTACACACAGAATTAAACAGTAAAGCCAATAACAATATATCAAAGAAGGAAATGTCTTTGTGTAAAGAAAAATAGGCTTCTGCTTCTGTAAAAATGTTTTAAAAACATTTCGTGAACTTTTAGTTATTTATTATTAAAGCTAAATTATGCTGTTGTTTATTTTTCTAGATTTTCAATGTTCTGCTTTATTGTTGATACTTGTAGGTTAAATGGTATTATTAACAATTTAAATTTTGTTCATGAACAAAAATGAATGAACAATGTTTTGCTTTATTACTTTATTTAAACAACATCACCTATGCTATACCTAGGGTGACATCTGTTGGCTGGAAGTGTTGTTATTTTGAGTTTTACTTACATTTTCACATGTCATGTCAAAGCAACAGTATCTTAGCATCAATATAGTAATACTGCAAAAGTCAAGATTTTAACATAAAATAAGAGATTTTACACATATGTGACTAAAATATCCTTAAAAGCTCAAGCATCCTAGTAGGAATTGTCCTTTGTTTTAGCGATGTGTGTATTTTACCATTAAACCATATATACAGCTTTCAGTTTAATATCTAATGTCTACCTCTTATAACAACCCGCAGTCAGTATGACCCAAGGCCCTGTGTTTATCTCCTCACATCCTTATTATGTAATTAGTGTCCTTAGCTGTGCAGGATGTAACCAGGGCTTGGTGTTCACTCTGGAGGATGAGCCCTGCAGCATGACCGTCTGAAGGTGCAGGAACTCAGTCCAGGTCAAAGGTTTATAGAAGTAGGAAGTCAAGAATCCAAACCTGTGTATCAGGCAGAATATAATGGGAATAAATAAAAAGATATCAAGATTTTCTTTCCATACATTTTATCCGTGGGTAGAATTCCTCCAATGACAGGAACATTCACAGGTAAACTTCTTAGTTCAAGACTACAGTACGTTAATTTTTTTTTTTTAAATGAACAATGTCATATGAGGCTAACCTAACTGACATTGTTTTCATGTGAGTGCGTGTGTGAGAAACATGTGCAGTGCTTTAGCCAGGCAGTGTAGCGTGCAGTGCAGGAGTGGGCAGAGGCGGCCTAGACCAATGAAGCTTCAGTACTTCCATAATCCCTGCGTTTTCAAGAGCCCTGGCCCGTACTTGATGAGCTTGAGCAAGAAAAAGGTATCTCTCTCTCCCTCTCTCTCTCTCTCTCTCTCTCCCTCTGTCTCTCCCTCTCTCTCTCTCTCACCCTCTTTCTTTTTCTTTTTTATTAACCCTGTTCTCATGCTCACTCATCCCTTCATCTTTGTCCCCTGGAGCCACTTTGCGAGTGAATGGACTCCAAGTGTTGAGTCAGCAACTTTGTCCTGTTTGACTCCTGTCAAGAGGGATTGGCTGAACTGAGTCACATGACTTCATTGATGAGCCTGATGGTAATAATTGTAAGATTAACTGAATTGATTCCTCTGATTAAATTCTTTTTTCCTTTAAGCCACTGATTCTCAAATTTCTCCAAACAACCTCCAAAAAGAAGCTGTACTGCACATGGAAGTAGCTGTAGGACTGGCACGGAAACAAATATCTGAAACCACACGTTTACACACACGGAAAGAAGGAGACTGAGGAGAGAGCTGTATTTAAGGACATAAGGGAATCAGCCTCCCCAGTGAACCACCAGAAGGAGCCCATAGTGTCACGTGTACCGGGGTTAATAACTACTGCTTTAGACCAGTGTTTCCCAAACCTTTTTTCTGGGCACTGCAGTAGTACAGACATCAGTGTGAGTATACTACAATTTACTAACAGTATACTGGGTGGTGAAATGTATTAGTTATGAATGGTTTTGTTGAAAAGCACAAATCTGGTTCATTCACAAATATTAAACATGACCCTGGACTAGAGTGCTGCAGAACCTGCACCGTTCACAAACAGGTTCCAGGTTCTGTAGTATTGAGTGCCCAAATCTCAGGTTGGTTGTGTCAGGATTCGGTTTTGGTGTAAAAACGGTCAATTCACTGTGCGGACCACCACTCCAGCAACCCCAACACAACAGACGAGACGACAGTGATTCTTCTATCCATAGAGCCAATGCAAAGCCACAGGTTACAGAGCTCTAGTGTAGTGTAAGGAAAATAGAATGATTTATAGTAATATGTTTTTGCTTGCATTACAGCTGCACCTGCTACACCAGGTAGTAATACTTTGGCATTTTCCATCATTTGTTTTTCAACAGTGATTGGAAACTTGAAAATCTTATATATGTGCTTTTTTAATAGAAGAAAACGACTCTGAAATCTGGAATATACCAGCATCAAAGTGTTGTGTGACACTGGTCAGTTGGTGGGCTGGTTTGGAAGAAGCAGGGATTAGTAAGAGGCCACAGGCCCAAGGGCAGAGGGACTGTTTCCTGGCCTGAGCCCCTGTTTGTCTTGCCTGACCTGACTTCTCTGGGGGCAGATCCTGCATGGATACAGCCTCGCTCCCACGCCTGTCTGAAGCTGTTAGACACTGGCTGTGAGTAGCTAGCCAGGCTTAGTGTTATCAAAGCTGTGGCTTGGATGGGAGAGGGGTAGAATGAGAGCAACAGGTAAATAGGCTTACAGTACAATTATAAGTAACAAACTGGGTTTGACTATTTTTTAAATATGCTGTTGTTTAAAAAGTATAAACAAAATATTGACTAAATACATCAACTGTACAGTAGTTTGATAAACAAGAAGAAAAGGTGAAGGACAAATATATATGAAGGTAAGACATAATGCTACATTGGTTAGCTTATTGTCCTCTGTGACCAAGGGTCAATATGATGACCACACTGAAATGACCAAAATGAAAATAAAATTAAGGGATATTTCCTTTTCTGTCTCCAAAGCTTTGATAGCTCAATTGCTTGTTTTCAGTGGCTTGTTATTATTTTTCAATTGGGTGGATTGGCTGTTGGGTTTAGAGTAGCACAGATGATCTCTGTGAGTGTTGTTTCTGCCCTGGATATACACAGCACTGCAGTGAAAGCCCAGAAAGAACAGGCCAGAGTGAGACTGAGTCGAACAGATAAAAGTGGTTCACCATGGAGCTCTCTTGGGGAATCAAACACTTATGGTACAGTCTTTAATATTTCTGTTGTTTTTTTTATGTAGCTGCCTCTGCTGCGGGTGGTGCTATTGTTTTAGCTGTGATTTCCAGAACCATGAATCGAGGTGAAGGGTATGATGTAAATGTTTTACATGATAATATAATTCTGCATGATAATATAATTCTCTATAGAAAATATATATAATATAAAATCTACAACTTGTGACAACAGTGTTACCAGTAAGGCGTGCTGCCTTATATATATATATATATATATATATATAAACACACACATAAATATAAACATAGTGCTTGCATATTATATTATATTATACAATATATTATATTATATCTTGCAAAAACACCAGTTTATAGAACATCATCATCTCTTGAGGCCCATGTGCGCCACGCAGTCCATATAAAGTCTGTGGATTATTACATCAGCATCATGTTAGTGTGGATCAGAGCAGGGAAACAGAATCACAACAACATGTTTCAAACGTTCTGAGTCAAACACATTATCACGTGACAGTTCTGCTCGGGTTCCTGTGGGTCAGAGGACATTAGGAACGGTCTCTCCTGGGCCTCATCCCCCCGTCTGCACCGTCACTGTTCAGCCAACAGCGTCATTCGCCCCTGCCTTATAAAACTGTCAACGCCTTTCTCTCACCTGGACTGACACGCTGCACAGACCCCGGGGCAGGACAGAGGCTGGACCTGTCCACAAGAAGACAAGAGGTGGACAGAAGTTTTTTTTAAATTCTTTTTTATTTCTTTAACAAGACCAGTTTCTTTTATGAATCTGGCAAATTATTCTTACTTTCCTGGCATGTGCAACATGACCGTGGAGACGCAGCCCTCGCCTGCTGAGGGAAGTCCTGTGGTCCTCTCTCCCGCTGTGAGCCTGGACTCTCCTCTTCAAACTCCTCCGCCTCTGATGCTGCAGCCCCGCTCCAAGGAGAATGTTTTAATCAAGTCGGAGCCCAGAGGGACCAGTCCCGACACAGAGGAGGGGGTCGCTCTGGGCCACACCGAGGAGCACCTGCCCTCAGGCAGCCGCCGGAGGAAGAGGCCGGTCCAGAGGGGGAAGCCTCCCTACAGCTACATCGCTCTCATTGCCATGGCCATCGCCAACTCCCCGGAGAGGAAGCTCACTCTGGGGGGCATTTACAAGTTCATCATGGAACGGTTCCCGTTTTACAGGGAGAACTCCAAGAAGTGGCAGAACTCAATCCGACACAACCTCACCCTCAATGACTGCTTTGTGAAGATCCCCCGGGAACCGGGCAGACCAGGGAAGGGCAACTACTGGACACTGGACCCAGCAGCTGAGGACATGTTCGACAACGGGAGCTTCCTGAGAAGGAGGAAAAGGTTTAAACGCACAGACGTCACCACGTATCCTGGCTACATGCAGAGCTCCAGTGCCTTCACCCCAACGCCGATGGGCAGGCCGTCGTACCCCGCCACCCTGTACTCAGGTATGGGCTCTGGGTACGGCTCCCAGCTGACGTCAACATCCCCACACCATCCTGCGATGCTGCATCATTACCAGACCCCAGCCGGGGTCGGTCAAGGACAGCCGCGCATGTTCAGCATCGACAACATCATCAGCCAGCAGACGGCAGTGCAGAACAGTCCGGGGACAGAGTTCAACTGCCAGGCGCTGGGGCTGGGAGCCGGAGACTTGGGCACCATGACCGCCAGCTGCCCGGCGACTGGCACAGAGTCGTCCGCGTGTTTCCAGAGCCAGACTGTCAATCCGTCTGCAAACATGCTGTGCAGAAACAGTGGGAATGTTGCATCCAACCTGGTGGCTGGATATCCATACTCCTCCTCGGCGTCACCTCCACATCTATCCACGATGACCCAGTCCGGGTTCTCTCCGGGACCCTCTCAGGTTTACTGCACTGGAAACAGGCTGTCCCTGCCGGCCCTGCGCCCTGCGTCCTGCGCTGAGCACACGGAGCAGCTGCTGGGCCTCTCCAGCCCCATGAACTCCTACAACAACACTTACATGAGACAGGCCAACTTTGCAACAGGATTAGACCGATATATGTAGACCCACCGCAGGCTTTATTAGACCAAAACGAATGTCCAAACTGAGTCTACTTCTAAATCAGGAACCATGTCTTAAACATAATTAAATCTTGAATTGGCAAAGTTTTTATATCAAAATTTGGACATCAGATCAATCAAGAACAATCAAACAAACTAAACCATATATACAGAAGAAATAAATACAATATAATATACAGTTCGTTATTTTCTTAATAACATTCCATTTGAGAAGGAAAGAAGCCACGTGACACATTCCATGACTGTATTTTAGACGTTAACCTGTTGAAGTTAAATAAAATTAAATTATGCTCCACAATTTTCTGTTTACATGTACATATTTTTAATCACGTATATTGTAGTGATAAATACGTGCTCTGTAATAGCTTTATTTCTAATAGAAGGCTTTATGTTTGAGGCCTGAAATTCGCTCTACTGTGTTTGTTATGTACGTGTTTTCAGTGCGTGATTAAAGTTCCTGATGAATGAACCTTGTTGTGTTTTTGCTCTCATTGGTCCTACAGCAGTGGTCACCGTTTATTACTAAAATATCATTATATTGTGAAACAGGAAACAATGACATTTAATTAGGATAAAAGACATGTATTAAAGCAGTAAAGAAAAACATTATGAACTAGTCATGAGGTATTTGATTTTTCAAATATTTTTGTTATGAAAGTTATTGATTGTAGATTCACTGCCGTTCAGGGGCCGCATAACGAATTTACTAATTATTAAACCATATTATGAATTGTACAACATCTTAATCATTCTTAATTTTCTGTCAAAAAAACCATCGAAAATATATGGATTATTATTCCATATATTTTCTCTGGCCTTCGGTCCATTACTGTTTGTTGACTATGCTGTAACTTGTGGCTGCACCTAAACAGTAGTATACAATAAAATAAATAAAAAATATTAGATAAATAAACAAACATTATCTCTGAAGAACGAGCCATAGCACATACAGTGAGGAGAACAACCTCGTATTCACCAGCTCTTTCACTCAGTGGTTAGAACGTGGTCTGACGCTGACGTGCGTTCTGACGTCAGCAGTGCCGTTGACCTTCAGTAAAGCGAACCTTAACAATATCCAACAATAAGTGTCGGCAAAACCTAAAGATGTTAGCCATGTCTGCTGGTGACCTGGGTAAAACAAATGTAGAAAAGATCTGTAACAAGGACAAGTAAAACGGTACCGGGAACCTGTAGGATGTAGTGCTGCAGTACTGTGTCAACACTGTATTTATCTATATTGTATTTATCTTACTGGGGACATGGCTGGACCATTTACTGCTGTGCACTATAGGAAATATTGTGTTTTCTTAATTGACAGACAAATATCCTGCATATCGCGGTGCCCTTATTCGATTATTTGTGCGGTGCAATAAAACTGGCTTTAAAATATATTGCTGTTTTGTTATGTGGTTTAAAAAAATGAAAATATATTACCTTTATGTAGTGTGCCTTTTACTAAAACGCATTTTATTCCTAATTAATTTACTTGTTTCTCTGTTCCCTGTGTAAGATTCCAGTCCAGCCATTTTTTTAGAGATGGCCTGTTCATTTTAAATGTTATAATCACCACCAGAGGGCGTCTCGACACCACAAACTGTAGAAAGACCAGCGGCTCACGAACATCAAAAGCTTAATGTGTCCGACCTTTGCTATAAATGCTTTCAGTGCTGAACTGCACGTCAACATTGAATAAATATACCAAATAAACAAATAATCGAATCAATCAACTAAGATCGACCGATTAAATATTCATTAGCATTACGCATCTGTCATTCAATTTAAATACAATTAATGAAACACATAATGACCCTTACATATATTAATTTAACAGTGTGTTATAGCTCATTTTTAAGTTACGTTGTTACCCTCAGATTATTAAATTATTTGCGGTATATAACATTATATAACGATATATGAATGTGTTTTGTTTGGCACAACACACAATTCATAGGTAAACAAATGTTTTATGGATGTAGTGTTTTCTTATTGACAGTCACAAGACAGGCTTTGATTACAACATAATTAACAGGTCTGTTAGTGAAGTTAAAATTATTTCTCTAACATTGGACAAACACAGGAGCCAAACAATACAGTGAGATGCATTTAATTGAATTGGCTCTTGGAGGCACGAGAGAGGAAAAATGTTTGCGTGGCTTCTGTCTGCATGTCTTAGTTACTTTGTCAAATAATAAACACTTGTGACGCGCAGGTCAAAGAAGAGGACACGGTGCTAATTAGATTGCGGGCTGTTGAGGGACTTTAAAATGCTCTGTGCTGTTTTTGTTATTTTTATTTTTTGCATCCGCTTTAAATAATACAAATCCACTAAAAAAGGCACAAACTGCTAATGTCTTCGAAATAAAAGACATTAGCAGTTTCAGTCGACCTCGACTATAAAAATCAAGTATGAGCTAAAGTGCAAACGCAGTGTAATTTCTCTGCGTCTCTGCTGTGAACTGGTGAACCTCAGGTCCTCTGGGTCCAGTGTGTGACATACAGACATTTCACGCTCTCATCTTTGGCCCCATAAAAACGCACTGCAGCCCAATACACAAAGAGTGAACAATGAAAACTCAACATCCAACAGAAAAACGATTGAAGAAAACGCACACGGCCCAAAACAATCAAGTCAATCCACAAATAAATAAAAGAAAATAAATAAAAATAAATGCAATTACATTTCCGATAGGTGAAAATTAACTAAATACAAAACAACAAATACTGGCAAAATATATAATATTTAACCACTATTTTTATTATTATGATGATTATTCTTTGAACGAGATTTACTGCTCTGTATCCGCTGGTATTATGAACCAAAGTCATCGTCTCACTCATTTCTGACCCAAAGCAGAAAAGAATCAGTTTAAAGAACTTAAAGCCTTGATAGAATGTATAAATATACATTTATATACGGATATAAAACGTCATTCCAAATGGAACCGAGACATTTTTTCGTTTTTATATGACTTAATACAACAAGTTAATTTCCTGTTTTTTTTATTATTGCAAACAAACAAAAAAAAAACCCAAACACCTCGCTTTCCTTAAAATGCAACGGAAAACGAGGCTATAAAGCCCAAACACCTCGTTTTCCTTCAAATGCAACGGAAAACGAGGCTATAAAGAAACTGAAATGTTATTTATTTTGCGTTATTATGTATCGTTTTATCATCACTTGCTGGACAGGCTTTATTTTATTATTTTATTAACTCATTAATTAATTATTTTTGTTCATGTATATCATGTAATCTACCAGATTAAGAGAGAGATGTTACTTATTGTAGGATGAACTAGATCAGTTCCTGGTAACTGTGACTCAACGACCACGTGACCGGGCTGCTCCTATAAATACCTTTTAGGAGCTAAGAGGGATAGTGTGACATTCTGGCTGGACACCTATCCAATCTGGTGCGTAAAGGGTATTTTGGAGAGATATGTGGATACCCCAAATTTCCTTTATAAATGACCCGCAACAAAAGGCGATCGCTGGAGACAATTAAGACCAAATGAGGTGAATATCGAGTCGAAATCGATGGTTTCTGGCTGTTTTTTTACGTCAGAAAACCCCAAGTTTGCTGAAAGGAAAACCACGCGCAGTCCTCCAGGAGCCAGAATCGAAGGAGCAGTGGTGGACACAGCGACAGGTCAAAGACTTCTTTATCTATCTTTTATGTAGTTTCAGCGATGTGTGCAGCCAGTGGTTGGAGATAAAGTTAGAGCATAAGTCTGGTGTGGTTGAACTGCCGGGAGAAAACAGTGCGTCTTTGCGCTCAGGCTGAGAAGGAGCACAGGAGGAGAAAATCTGGGAGAGAAGGGCGAGGGACGCGATCTCTCCAAGGATGACTCTAGGGACGGACATGTCCGATAGCTCCGCACTATCCGAGGATGTGGACATCGATGTGGTAGGGGGTGACATATCTGTGGGAAAGGACGGGAAGTACATTCACCACGAGTTCAACTTGGACAATGACTCCGACGATAACTGCTCCCAGAGCGCCGCAGAAAGAGGCTCCTCTCCGGCGCTTAACACCACAGACTGTCCCACTGAGCAGATGGGCTCCGGCGCAGAGGCGGGCACCGTGATTGGGGACAAACCCAGAAAAAGTGCACTAGTGAAGCCACCCTACTCCTACATCGCCCTGATCACTATGTCCATCTTGCAGAGCCCCAAGAAGCGCCTGACCCTGAGTGAGATCTGTGAGTTCATCAGCAACAGATTCCCATACTACCGGGAGAAATTCCCTGCGTGGCAAAACTCTATCCGTCACAACCTTTCCCTGAACGACTGCTTCGTAAAAATCCCACGCGAGCCCGGCAACCCCGGCAAGGGCAACTATTGGACCCTCGACCCGGACTCCGCAGACATGTTCGACAACGGCAGCTTCCTGCGCAGGAGAAAGCGCTTTAAACGGCACCAGACTAACGAAATCCTCAGGGACGCCGGTGGTTTCCTACCCGGGTTTGGATACGGGCCATATGGATACAACTATGGACTTCAGCTGCAGAACTTCCACGCCGCTCACAGCCCATATCACCCACACCACCCAGGTGGTTCATTCCCGTTTCCGAACGCGCCCTGCACCTTATCCTCCTCTGCAACTTTATTCCCTGCGCCGCATCCGCTGCCTTCTCTTTTAGGCGCCGATTTAAGAAAGCCCTTTTACCCCCAGCTCAGCCCTTCTCTGCCGCCTCTCAAGACGGACCCCAGCGCTCCCAGTCGGCCTTCTTTCTCCATTGACAATATCATCGGTGCGGCCAACTCCGCCGCCTCTTCCTACGGCGCACAGCCGAGCAGCCAGGCGCAGATCCTGGCGATGCTGACCCCAGCCCTGGCCTCTGCCTCAGGTCACTTGAACCTATCACCGGACACTGTTTTACAGCCTGTGCCACAGAGTGAGACTTTTCCAAGCAAAACCCCAAATATGAACACTTGTCCTTTTTAAAGCAAACATAAAATTACAAGAAAAACAAAACACAGTAAATTAAAGAGCCACTTGTGGCAGCGCCCAGTGTGAAGGTAGGCTGAACATTCTTCCTGAAAACGAAAGCCTTTTTTTATTCTTCTGCTTTGCTCCAAATATCGTGGAGAGAAAGGTTTATTTATGTTGTGTAAATATGTGAATAGTACCGGGACACAAGAAAAAGACTTTTTTCCCCTTAAACGTCAGTCTGCACCGTGGGCTTCATTTGTCAGCTGAAGAAAAGTAAAAAAATAAAAATAAATAAATAACCTTGTTATTTTATAAGTTAATTTTATCACCTTTGGTCATGGGAATAATTGACATTTTTTAAAAATATATATTTGAGAATTTTATTATGATTCATGTTGTTTTAATTTCGTGCATCGTGAATTAATGTTGTTGACATTTATAGGATGACAAGAGCGGCAAACTCAGGTTTTTTTTTAAGGAAAGCACATGGAAAATGGGGACACAATATTAAATTGTCAAATTTGTGTCAAAATAATTTCACATTATTGGACATTACAGGCTGTGAGGTGTTTTTGGTTTATAAAAACGAGCTTATGTCTCTCTCTCTCTCTCTTAACCTGTAATTGTTGTAGGTTTTGATCTATTTCACAATTTAATCTGTGAAAATATGTGATGTGTTGCCAATAGAAAGAGGGAGACTCGCCTAAATGTTTATAGGTCATTTTTTGTTGTGATGACAAGAAAAATAAATGTTTGTGAATTTGAAAACGAACACGTTTCGTTGCATAGAAAACTGATTCGATGTGACGTTTTGTCCAGATCTGTGCTGCAGAAAACGTGTTTTTCGTCACAAATCTAACGTGAAGAAAACTCTGACAGCTGATAGCATCTTGAACCCGGATCAGTCGAGGCGGGATCACACGGCCCTCGTTAGGCCCGCAGGAAATTAAGATCAGTTCAATCTTGAGAAACGCCATAAATTCTGTGAAATTATGTCAAAGAACCGTGGAGAATATCACGCAACAGTGGGCAAGTATTCCTCTTGTGTGGCTCTCTGCTCAGCTTGTCAAAGAACCGTGTTCCAGCAACTCACAAAGGGCCTAAATGAATGGGGACGTTAGCGGGCATCTGCGGTCAGTAATTGAAAGTGAACAAGGATAGAGCCACGGTCTTTTGGGGGCTTTCGTTGCTAATTTGTAGCAGCATTTTTCACCGGGTTCCTAATCCGCCATAATGCGGCTTTTGGGGCCGTTTGTTGATGTTGTCACTGCGGACCCTTGGCCCTGGGGAGTGAATGTGCGCCCAGCGGGCTGTCCCCTGTGGGTCCAGCCACACACATTTACGGCCTGAAAAGCAATCTTCTCAAAAGGCCCTCGCTTTGCTGCGCTTTCATGTCGCCTGTGTTGTCCGGGAATAGAGATATAAAAGAAGCAGCGGGCCTCGTCCTGCCACAGAAACCAGGCCCATTGGTCTTTTTCAGAGTTGTTGGAGCACACGGTCCCGGACAGAAAGGGATGTAAAGCCTTTTTTCTTCCGCCGATATGTGTGCAAACGGTTAAATGAGTTTGTGGGTGTTTTGACAGATGATTATTACAGATGAAGGGTGGGAGGGTGGGAGGGCTGACTCCTCTGTTTCCCTCAGCACAGCTCCCTGAAAACCAACACATGACTACTTTCTCTATGCAGCGCCAGCTTTCCTCCCTTTCACTCCGCTTGTTAGTGCAAACAGGACGATTAAAATATCGCAGGGAATTTGAGTGACCGTTTTGATTAGAAGCCACCCCCCCCCCCCCCCCCCCACTGCGACGCGACAC